GTTGGTCGTAAGACAAAAATTATTGCAGTTTGATTGAGACGTTCTACCTCATCCTCCGTACTCTCCAGACATTGCTCCATCCGATTATTACTTGTTCTTCTCGTGAAAAAATTCTCTCCGTGAAAAACGGTTTAAATTCGTAAGCGAAATAAAAACGCACCTTGATCAATATTTCGCAAATAAGCCTCAACAATCTTGGAAAGACGGCATAACGAGGCTTTCTGAAAGATGGAGGAAGGTAATGGAGCAGAATAGTTCATATATAACTCGATAAATCAACGTTAAACAACAAATATCGTGTAATCATTTCGCATCAGAAAAAAGGAAAGAACTTATGGGACACCCTAATATTAGGAAGAATGGTGGGCACGAGGACGAGGTCCTCCACGGAGGAAGGTGAACACCGGTCGGGACTGTCGAGACTGTCGAGAGTCGAGAGAGGGACGGACTGCTCGCTATGCTACGCTTACACGCAGCCACGTATCTCTCCGTCGGAACGCCCCGTGGCGAAAAGTCGCGGCATTTATGCGATGTTTTCGGAAACGCGTTGCGCGCCCATTCCGTAACGTAGAAAATTCGGTGAAGTGGTGTTAAACACGATAGTTATTTCGACGCGGGCTCGTCGAAATGTCGCAACGTCGTCCTTCGATTATAATTCGTTGCCGCGATAGGTAGCTTCCAGCATCGCCAGCAATTTTTCTAACACGGTTTTGGAGCAAGTCTCCGGTTTCATTATCCCCGATTCCACCGTGCGACCTGTCTCCGGCAGCAACGGCGGCACAAAGGGCAGCTTTCTACACCGCGAACGATAAAAGTAAACCATGAATTGGGGGATCGCGAGGGGCTGGCTGACCCGATCCCGAAACGCGGTCTTAAAAACTGCAGGTGCTTTTCGCTGGGATAGTTGAACTGTCGAGACTCGTGCTCGCCTCGTTTCGCAATCTATTAAAAGCGTTCACCGAGAAGGATCTTTTTTACGAGAAGTAAAGAATCGTTCGGTGATATATTCACGCGGTCCCACCGGGGTCCGTTGAGGATCACGGTGGAGAAGGGAGGGGGGAATCTACGAAGTAGCTGGGGATATAATCGCTGAGCAATTCGAGCAGCGAAGTGGATCGCGTTGAAAATGTTTTCGGTGGTTGCGTGACGCGGTGCAATTTTCGGGGCCCGCCGCGGCGCCGTGGTCCGTTTCTGAAAGGGGCCCGGTCGGGCCGCCGAGGTACACCACTGTCCGCGCTATCACGATTAACAGAGTGAGCAGCGCGAGACGCGCGTCCGTAGGAGCGAGACGGAGCGAGTGGCGAAGGAAAGGTAAAGGAAAGGAAGGCGCGCAAGGTAAAGGCATATCTTGGATCCTTCGGCTGACTCGGTTCAGTCTGATCCGAGCCAAGCCACTGCCCTGATCCGGCGCGGTGCCTCTCTCCGTCTCCACCGGTTCGCTCTCTCTCCCGGTTCTCGCCGGCTGTGCTCCCTGGTTCCTCTCTCCGTTCCACCACCTGCAGCTCGCCGCTCGCGGTCCTCTTGACACGTTCCGCTCTCCTCCGGTCTAATCCAGCCGTGTCATCGATCGCCGATCCCGACCCCGACTTCCTTCCTCCTTGTTGCTGGCTCTGCCTGCGCGGTCAGTTCAAGTCGCGGCGAGCCGAAGCGAGGCGAGTCGAGGCGAGTCGAGGCGAGGCGAGGCGAGGCGGAGCGACGCGACGCGACGCGACGCGATCCTCCGTTCGTCCGTTCGTTCGTTCCTGTCGCGTTCGCCCGCCAGACCAAAATCACCATCTGACATGTCACAGTGCACGCGTCGCCGTCCTGCCAGCCGCCGACGGTCGTTCTTCCGCGTTCAGTGAACAAACGGGAATAAAATAACCTTGTCGGGAACACGCGTCGCCGCGTACAACGTACGCGCACTTCTCTCTCTCTCTCCTTTTCCTCTCTGTTTTGTTCTCTCGCCAGTGCCGGGGTTGCATTCCGACCGACCGTAATTCTTGTCGTGCGCGCGTTCCTCGAAACTCCGGGATTTCTGTGGATCCGCCGACCGGTACCGGAAGTGTGATGACCCTTCCAGTGAGACGTGCTATACCGATCGACACGCCGACACCGGCTCATCGATCTGGGATTTGAGCATCGGCCGACGAGGTTCGTACTCACCTTTTGCGTTCCATAACGATATCATTGTTAATCCAACGTCGCCGCGTCTCCTGTCAATCGTTGCACACGGCTCTTGCCTTTTATTCGCGCCGTTCGACCATCGTCGACCGATGCGCCCGGATCGTCTATTGGAAATTCGGCTGTCGAGTGTGAAAACACAGTGAGATATTTTCGACGTACGTACATATATGTAGTTATACGACTTCGTTCTAATGAACGAACAAGACGCGTATTTATTGTACGACCGAACAACGATCCAGAGCGACGAGTCGAAGCGGAACCGTGTTATGCATCTACAGACCCTATCTGTTCCAACATAAACAATCGAAAGTATAGACACGGGCTAGTGTTACAAAGTGACCTCTTCGGAATACAAAGAAGCAGAAATATCTACGTCGCTGCACGACCGACGGGGGGGGGGGGGTCATCTTCCATTTCCGTTGGTCGAATTTTGTTACGGTTTGCCGTTCGTCCGAGCAGTGTTCGAGAGAACGCGTCAATCGTTCGGATTTCGCACGAACAAAGAGATTTCGGCAACGAAGTTATCGCGAGGAGTTTCAACGAAGTAGTTTCGGCCAGATGTCGTCGAACGGTAATCTTCGGTTTCTTCAAGGTCTTCCACGTCTTCGTTTTACATTTTTGTTAGGGAACGACGAATTGTTTTATTCATGAGCGCGTTATACCGCGTTCCGTGGCATCACGATGCCCCTTTGTCCCCCCCCCCCCGCGGAACGGGAAAAATTAACCCCTTAACGTGCACGCTCTCGAGTTAACTCGAGCGCGCTAAACTGGCCAAACTGTGCACACTCGAGATAATTCGAGCGGCGTTGTACTTTATGTTGCTGTAATTTTTCACACTCGAATGCGATCGAAAATTGAAAATAACAATGTGAAAGCACAAAAAAAGAACAATCGTTTTATTGATATTTATCATTTACATGGGATCGTAAGCTATAACACTTTCCTATTCAAGTATAAAATATATCCTTTTTCTACTTATCACTTACGACTTATCTCTTCCTTGTGAGCCGCTTTCCGACAGCGTATTCATATTCAGATTCTGATTCGCTCATTTTTCAATATATATTTTACTCAAATCTAATGTAAAATAAAATATAATAATAATAATAATAACAATAATAATAATAATAGTAATATTCTGAAAATTAGAAATCATACCAATTGTGTAAATATTTAATATTTTTGTATTTTTGTCATTTTCTTGCCAAGACAACGTTCTAAATTGTGACTTTTACATTAAAAAAATTGATCTTTTCTGGCCGGTCTCTTTCAAAAAAAACTGTGCATTAAGGGGTTAATCGTTGGTATAATTCGACGCTCTTCCTCCTCGCCGATCGACGAATTCTTTCACGTGGGATGAGAGCGCACCAACGCATTGTGTTCGGAGGCCCGTCGTCGACGTCGTACTTTCTTCCGATGGTGCTTCTGGAAACGTCCCGGATAAATGAAGCATTTTTTTCCCCGCTTCTTTACGGTAGACAATGGGCTATTAGCTGTAAGCACCAATTACGGGGCTGTACGCCGCCGCTTCTTTCCACGGACAAATTGCGCACGCGAACAAAACGAGCGGACGAATATAGTCGCGGTGCGTTTTCATCTGCGATTCCCGCGGTGGGGGGGGGGGGGG